TTTTGGCAATATTTGAAGAGTAAATCGTCCACAAATACAATTCCAGATACAATGTTTCTTGATGATAATACTGCAGAAAATGGTGAGCAGATTGTACAATATTTTGCAGATTATTTTTCAACGGTTTATGTAAAACCATCAATAAATTCAAACTGTGATGATTTTCAAGGATTTAACAACTTCTATATTTCTAATCCGGTGTTGAATAGCTACATGATTTATGAGAAAATTTCCAAGTTGCCCAATAAATTGAGTAGTGGTCCAGATGGAATTCCTAATATGTTTTTGAAATACTGTATTTGCTCCTTAACTCCTGCGTTACTTGTATTATTCAAGCTCTCACTAGATACGGGCATATTTCCTGATGCTTGGAAAGATAGTTATATCATCCCAATTTTCAAATCCGGAGACAGAGAAAATATCAAAAATTATCGGGGCGTTTGTAACCAATCTGTGATTCCAAAACTTTTCGACTCTTTAATAGCCGATCAACTCAATTATTGTTGTAAAGAGCTGTTAATCAGTAACCAGCATGGATTTTCAAGGAACAAGTCCACTGTCACAAACTTGCTAGTTTATGAGACCAAAATACTAAATGCTTTGGAAAATAAATATCAGGTTGACGCTATTTATACTGATTTTTCTAAGGCATTTGACAGAGTAGATCATTCCATTCTTTTGTCTAAACTAGGAGCTTTTGGATTCTCTGATTGGTTTTTGAAATGGTTGAAAAGCTTCCTAACAGGCCGTAGACAGTGTGTTCGAGTTGGCTCGTTCAGATCCAGTCATATACAGGTTTCATCAGGAGTACCTCAAGGTTCTCATTGTGCTCCCATTTTGTTCAACATTTTTGTGAATGATATCAGTAGATGTTTCGTGAACTGCGAGTTTCTATTATTTGCTGACGATTTGAAATTATTTCGAACCATAAATTCAAAATTTGACCAAATCAATTTACAAGAAGATTTAAACAGATTGAATAATTGGTGTTTGGAAAATAATCTGCATCTAAATATCAATAAATGTTGTTTCATTAGCTTTTTCAAGGGTTATAAGAAGTTTGATACTGTATATAGTATAAACAACAGTCCTCTCAGATACGTTCCAACTGTTCTAGATCTAGGGGTCACTTTTGATGAACAAATGAGATTTGTAAATCACATAAACACCATTTTAGTGAAATCATCAAAGATTTTAGGAATGATTATTCGTAATTGCTCTGAATTCTCAGTGGATTCTATAAGGAAGGTCTATATGTCATTGGTCATTTCTAAACTGACTTATGCATCTATTGTCTGGTCTCCTCTTTATCAGGTTCATAATATAGCCATGGAGAGAGTACAGAACAAATTTCTGAGGTATTGTGCCTTTAAATTGAACATTCGTTGGGAAAACCATCAATATATGCATATTATGAACGAAATTAACTTAATTCCATTGCGTAGTAGAAGACTCAAGTTAGATTTATGTTTTATCTTCAAATTATTGAATGGTGCTGTGAACTGTCCGGAACTACTGGAGTTAATTACGTTTAATGTCCCAAATAGAGTCCTTAGATTTCCATATTTATTTCAAATACCATTTCATGTCACAAATTATGGACAGCATAATCCAATAGAAAGGACATTAAGATTCATAAATAAAAATAATTTAGATGTATTAGGATGTTCGTTTAATAAGTTTAAGATGTCTTTGCGTGATTGCTTATAGCCTATTGTTTCGTTTCATGTTTTTATTCTTCTCTTTTCCTTATCGAAATTGTTAAGTGAGTACCTATGTGTTGAGACATGGTGTATATTAATTATATTCATTATATTCTTATATTCATACTGTATTCAAACTTGTAATGGGGGTTTCCCGTAAATAAATAAATGAAAATAAATGAAAAAAAAAATATTTATACTTGTATACAGTGTCATCCGTAAAGTCGGCATCATATTATGGGGAAGACGTTTAATAATAATTCATTCGGAAATTAGACCTGGGCGTTGAGGTTTGCTTCCAAAAAGATGAAAAATTGCCTACTCGGTAAAAGTCACGTGACTTTCGCTACATGATGGTAAAAGTTGTTCAAATCAATTGCTGAAAACAGAACTATTTGTTTGAATTTCAATATGAATTAAATGAGAATAGTTGTTTCTATTCCAATTTGAAATATATTTTATGTCTCGAATTTGAACGTTCTATAACAACTTTTAGTCTCTTGAAATTTTTCAATATCTACGAAATTCATCATGTACCTGGACAATATTGGAAAAAATATCTTCATCATGCTACTAACTGTCAATACCGCTTCTTTGACTGGGTAGGTATGTTTGATACAAAGTTGATGTATCGTCTACCTATCATTCAGGAGCGAAATTGATTATTTCAGTGGCATTTTGTTTTCAATTCGAACAGATAGCCTATTTTCAGCAATCAGATTGTAAAAATATAAATTGACAAGTAGATAGCGAAAGTCACGTGCCTACGACCTAGTAGGCCATTTTTCATCTTTTTCAAAGCAAAACTCAAGTTGAACTTCAAAATAAATTGTTGTTGAAAGTTTTCCCGATACGATGCCATCTTTATGAATGACACTGTATATTGTTTTATATATTAATAGTCGGTGATTACCACAAATGACTTCGGATTGCTCTCACATATTTTCACAGGCTCTGTCTCAACTGGTAGACTCATACACCATTTTTGTTCATTCGCAATCCAAGTTAATAATAATAATAATAATAAATGTTTTCATTGGACAGACATTATATCAGTTGATATATATACAGGTTGAACACTTAATAAATGCCTGCCAAATGGCAGAGTTCAAATTGCCTGTGAAGACAGGAATTTGCTCTTCCACTCAACCAGTAAAAACTCATTCATATGCATTCAAGTCAATATGAATGAGTTCAAAAATATATTGAAAAATAACTAACTACTAGAATCTAATAATAATTGAATGATACATGCATAATAATCTGAAACATAGTTATGTTTATAACAGAAGGAAGGAAGATGAAAAAGCAGAAAAAAAGAGGGAAGATATATACATATTTATGAACTATAGTCCTATATTAGAGATATTTTCATAGAACAGGTTGTGAACAGATATTGACAGAGAACTATATCAAGGAAACGAAATTCTCCCTGATATCAAACAATTTTTCAGCCTCTGTTTGAGGACAAAAACAGATACACTTTTCAACTCCTCTGGAAGCCAGTTGTATAGCCTAGTCAAATGAAAACTGAAAGATCCTTCATAGAAAGTTGACTTATATGCTGTAGAGGAGTGATGCGCGATTTGTGTCTGATATTGAGGTTGTGAACATCCGTTCTGAATCTGATTTTATTGTATAAATATGGTGGAGTTCTCGAAATTATGATTTTGTGAAAAAGAATGCAAGCATACACTATAAGCGTCTTTCTTCCATATTCAACCAACCCAGAGATGTAGGTGTTCCGTTCTTCAGGCCACATATGAGCCGAACACAGCAATTTTGTACTCGTTGAATTCTAAGACAGTCTGATTTCAAAAGATTGGGCCCATAGATTACAACTCAATAATTGAGATGGGACAGAACTAGAGACTCACACAACATTATCTTGACATTTTTATTCAAAAGTGCTTTATTACACGAAAAAAAAAGGATTTGTTGCATCAACAAATTATTTATCCTTGAGTTATTTTTGTTGGACTGAGCAATTTTTTGTTGAATCAACCAGATACATGATTATTCCATGGAAGCAGCTTGTTCAAATCAAGAATGCAGTCTAATTGAATCAACAGTAAAATATCAATTCCATCAACAAAATATATGGTTTCTTCAAAAACAAATTATGTCGATCCAAAATAATGTCGATGTTGATTCAACTATAAACATTTCGTTAATTTGATCAGACAATGATTATTTTGATGAGAATATATATATATCTTTGAAACAACATACAAGTTGTCTTATTCCGATGTATCAATGAACTCGTTTCGAACGGATCATTTGCTTGAATAGAGCAACGAAATATGTAATATCAATGAAATATTTTGTTCATTCTACATCAACTTAAATTTTCGCCTCTAGATGGCGATCATTTCGCCTCGTCTATGCCTGCCTCGAGTTCATTATATACGTGAAGCCTGATTCTTCGTGTTTGAAATATCAGCTGGATAAGTATAACTTAGGATGATTAGCAATCCGAAATAGTTTTCCATCAGCTAAAGAGAATTAAAGACTAAAGATCTATTCTAGGAGTCAACTAGTTTCCTAGTTTTGTTTATTCTATTGATGTGAAATTTCAGAAAATTCCCGAATATTGAATTTTCTTTCAACAAAACAATTTGTCGAATGGATATATAGTTTCTCTTGAATCAACAGAATATTTCATTGAATTAACCAAATATTTCATTGAATCAACCAAATATTTCATTGAATCAACCAAATATTTCTTTGAATCAACTAAATATTTGATTGAATCAATATCTTGTTATTTTGAATCAAACAAAATGTTTGTTTGAGTCAATTCAATATCTCTTCATAAACGATTCATGGGTGTGCTTGATTGAAGAAGATCCAGAGTTCATGCAAGACATATTTACTTGATTCAAACTTCAAATTCGCTCTCAAAACAAGATAAAGCTTACTCATTTCAAGAATATATGACACTTTTATTTGCTCCATTCAATTAAATTTTGCTTGATTCAACAATTCCTTTTTTCCGTGTACTATAAATGAGTTTGAGATTACCAAAAGCTCTGCGAAGTATCATGGTAACATGCGATGAGTATCTCAACTTATTGTCTAATAATATTCCTAAGTTTTTGTCATTTTCATTTAGAGTCAAGTTCACACCATGCTCCCGCAATAATATTTATGAGATCAACACACCGCTTGCGAGCTGGTGTACTAAATCAGCAATTTATTCGTAATTTCAAATTCGATATTCAATATTCAGAATTTCAGATTCATGGTCAGTGAAATGTTGAAACCATTATTACAGTACATTTTATAGATACTTACGGAATGTTAATGTACTGGTGCCACTTCTTTGGATTCTGTCTAAATGTGTTTCCGAAGATAATCCTATTATCGCTACAAACAGTGCAGCTTTGAGGATCACTCTGTCCACTAAAAAGAATATTTACATTGAAAACCCATAATGTAATGACTCAAAGTACGTATCAGAAATAATTCATTCCAATAGAACTGAATCAAATGTGATTCAGTATTTGAAAATGACTACATGCAATGAAGTTTCGAAAACTGAAAACATGCATAATTGACAAAAGTGCGGGAGCAGCCTTTAGGTACTGCCGATAGAAGTGAACATTAAGTAACTAGTAAATTGTATCGTCGAGCTATAAGATTATTAAATATTTTTCTACTCCTAGTTCGCTTGAATCTCCTAATTTTGAGATTGAGAATGATTGGTAATCTTCGACCCTGAAAACCCCCAGATACAAATTTTGAATAGAATCGGATTGTGATTACAAAACTCGTTCGCCATATTGGATCTGCAATCTTGAATTCTCCAATTTTCTGCTAGATCTCATAACTAAGGGATCCAGTATGAACAGAGTTGCCGCAATTGTCAGCAGGAGCGAGACAGTACTGTTTCGACCCACCAGAGGTCTCATCAGCCGCTCTCGGTCTGCTGACAACTGGAACAACTCTACGCTTCGGGTATATCACCCATTTCGAAGACGAAGGGTATAATATGAAGTTATAGTCGTCATGTTGTAGCCATCTAGTGGCAAAGCTCTAAGGTAGGATACAGAAATCGTGACACACACTGTATGTCGCTGCCATCTATAGTCACACGTACAGACCCTTACGTCTATACGCTACAGATGGGTACTACAAGTAAACCACTCTGCTGACAGATGGCACTACCTGGCATATAATTGAGAGGATTTTTCCACCGACCTATTCAACCGCTAGATCTCATAACTAAGAGATCCAGGATGAACAGAGTTCCCACAATTTGTCGGCAGGAGCGAGACAGTACTGTTTCGACCCACCAGGTCTCACCAGCCGCTCTCGGTCTGCTGACAACTGGGACAACTCTACCGTTGATTGAGGTATTGGTTAGTTCGGGAATATCACCCATTTTGAAGACGCAGGGTATAACATGAAGTTATAGTCATGTTGTAGCCATCTTGTGGCAAAGCTCTATGGTGTTCGCGGTATGTCGTCACAAGGGGATCCGCGATTTTCATGTTATGAACAATCGTGAATGCCAATAATAATTATTTCGAAAAATAACAGAGCTCTGTGTAAAAAAATGGTTTGCGACAGTGAACATCAAGTTTGGGTTATTATTCAGTTATAAGTACATTAACCTGTATATGGGAACAATGAATTCCTACCAATTTTTTTATCGAATCAGAAAGACTATCCCTTCTGGAGTGTTGTCGGTCGAATTTTATACTATTTTAATCGTCTTCGCACAATAGTACACACAGTAACTCCCAATAGCGTATCACATATCATATTAACTGAATAATATATACTATAGATCTATGATATTACTATACCATTCAGACCCTGGCTGCGCTGTACAGGGTGGGCCAAATTGTAAAATTTTAAAGGGAAAGTCCTATTGCTGTACTAGATGGAAACAAAAAACTGTTGTTCTCTGCTAGATAGTTTTCTCTCAAACAGGTCTCTCCATGTAGTGGTCGACGGAGTTTCATCTGACTCTCTTTTCATAAACGCTGGGTGTTCCGCAAGGATCAATTCTAGCACCAACACTATTTCTACTCCATATCAACGATTTGTTGAAAGTAACTTCATGTTGACAACATAAATATGGACTTGGCAACAATTCTCGAATGGGGATTCAATAACTTGGTAGATTTCAATGCAAACAAAACTCAAGCATGCCTTTTCTCTAGAAAAGCCGTGCTGTGCCCAACATCAGCTTGTCAGGAGTAACCATACTTTTGAAGACATCCATTTCGATGCTTGGTATTACTATCAGCAATAACCTTTCTTGGGAAAATCACGTGAGATCAATTGCTTAAAGTGCATCCCAAAAACTTTTTTTTCTGTTTCGGGTCAGGAGCTATTTCACTTCCAGTAAGCTGCTTATGATCTATAAGGCACATATCCGACCTGTCCTGGAATACTGTTCCCATATTTGACGTGCAGCACCCAAGCATACCCTGAAACTGTTGGATTCTGTTCAAAAAAGGGCAATTCGTCTCGTGGGTGATACCTCTCGCTCACAAACTCACTCACTTCTCTGGAACACCGTAGAAAAGTTGGCGACCTGGCTCTATTTCATACATATTTTCATGGACGATGCTCTTCTGAAATATCAACAATTGTTCCTCCCTTGGCAGTCCCCGCGAGATTAACCAATCGAGTTTTCGCACCTCTTCGTGGTCACCTTGGAGACCTGCAGAGCATTTCTTTCCAAAGACTCGTTCATTCAACGAACAGCGAGGCTCTGGAGCACATTGCCAAAGGAGGTGTTCCCCGAGGCATATAACCTCCAGAAATTCAAGGAGAACACCAATTCCTACCTCATTTCCCTTGGTTCTCACGATGTTCTCTGAACGTTACAGGATTTCCTTTTTCGTGGGAACCAGAACATGGTCGATTTCAGTGCCTCGGGATCACAAACTCAATGCTTTGGAGTTATTTTCATGCAAACAGACATTTTTGCCAAAAATAATATTTATAGCCACTTTTTTCAAGAATGCCCATGTTCGAAAAACACCTTATACCTCCGAAACGAAGTTAGATATCGATATGCGGTTTTCACTATTGAGTTTGTTATGTGAATCCTCAAGCATCGACATCAGTGTTTTTCTCTCTAGTATGAGAATAAGACTTTTTCTTCAAAACTCTCCAGAGATCATAGGACATTGAAAATGGGACAGCCTTTACAATGAGAATTTCGCAAAAATGCAGACAAAAATTAGCAGTATACTCACATGATCTCGCCATACTTAGCGCTGAATTGGAATTATGAAGCTTCAGTTGGAGACAATTGTTGGGAAATATTAGTTTTCAATAGGCGAAAGGTTCCATATATACCTATATGCAGATAAAAGCACGAAAATCGGCCAGTGCCGTACCGTCTCAATATTTCGAGATCAGATGTTGAAATTTGATAAGTATAGCAAGTATACCAAACTGCTCAATTATTGACAGGAAGATATACAAGGTGCTCATTTCAAGGCTGACCAGGATATCACAATATGACCCCAGTAAAATATTGATAGTGACACTTTTGTGAAAATTTTGTGAAATCGAAACCTTTCATCAGTATTTTGAGTGCCGCAGGTACAAAACTTCATCATGGTTCAAGATTCCATTTTTAATGCAACCTGTAATGATCCATATAGAAATATTGGTGCAGTGCCTTTGAAGAAAAAAAAACATGTTTGTCTGATTCACGAGTTTATTTATTTCAATCACCCTATACTTAAACTCTTCATACAGAACACAAATCACCACGTAAACCTGGCACATTATCAAAAAAATTGTATATTCAGTGTAGTTTTTGATATGGTATACCATTTTTCATATTTCACTATAGTAGCCAATTTTGAAATCATTTCACGAAATTCATAAAAATGCCAATATCTCCAGAACTATCAATATTTAACTAAGATAATTTTGTGATATCCATTCCAGTCACTATCTGGACTATCAGCCCTTCGAAGGGTGACGTTGAATTTGAAGAAACCCTGTATATTTGTTGTATCCCTTCCGATATTGATACCGAAGTAATCCGAATTTTTCGGGGGGGGATCGTTTTACATACATTGAAACATCAAAATATCAAAATGTGTAGGTTGTACTATATAAGAAGCAAAAGTTGAATAGCTCACGGAGAAAAAAGTTAACATTCACGCATCAATATAGAGATGCAGAAATGTCAAGTTTTTCTGACAGTTGATAAAAGGCAATTTGATTTTTTCCTACTCACCAAACAAAATCCGAACCCGAAGGATTCAGAAGTTACAGCACTAGCCGTTTTTGTGGAGTTCTCTGATACAGGGAAGTCGAATTTTGCCTTTTATTAGCAAAAAATAATTATTTTAACACTTTATCACATTTTATTCTGGTACGACTGGAAGCAAACACCAACTTTTGATTTTTGAAAAGGACAACCTGTACATTTTGACATTTTCATCAGGAATAATTCCTAGTGTATCTGAAATAGACCAGTGCTGAAGCCTTCGAAAATGGTAAAATGTGAAGAAAAATCATAGTAGGATGAAACTCATTGAAAAAGAAAGAGAATATAATAAAGATGAAAGGGAAAATAAATTACGGGCGATCTGAGGTCGGGAAGAGGTAGGGGGTGAGTTTTTAAGGGTAAAAAACAGTTTATCTTGATTTCTAGCAAAACTACGAGTCCTATGGAAAAAAGTTGAATAGCAAAGTTGTAGGAAATGAAGAGACTGAGATAAGAGACCCACAACTTTTGTCACCACACTTTTCTCACATAACCTCGAAATTTTTGTGAAAAATTCTAATTAATGCAAAAAAAAATTCATTTTCACGAAATTTGGTCAAAACTCACCTTCTCATGTAGTAAAGACACTGTAATCTTCTTGATTCGAAATATTTATTTTTTCACCTCATATTGACTTTATATCGAAAAAACACACTAATTTTCAATCGAAAATTCTCACGTCAAGACATCAGCTTTTTAAAAATCCTCAGGGTGTCCTTCCTGATGATGTTAGGAAATATATACATTACTAATGGTGAATGTTCTCAGAAAATGCTAAGAAAAAAAAAACTCGAATCCGAATTTATTTTTAACCGCTATGTACAATTTGGAGCTATTTTGTGAAATTTTCATTTCAATTGCTTGAAAAACTTAAGATTCCCTGTAACATTGATAAACAAAAAAATTAAAATCCATAAATCATAAAGATTGCAAGAAACATGCGAAAATAGTTGTTCTAAATATTAGAGATATATACGATTTAAAGGGGGGATTTCAATAAAAAAATGTGATTGCTGCAATCTTTCTTTTCAATCAAAAAGTTGATTTTTTAAATTATAATTACATTTATGTCATGAAAAATCTCATAATATATGAATAGAAAAGTAAATCGTACTATTGAATTTAGATACTTTATACTGATCATAATTATTCATAATAATATTTTTAAATGCATTTATCTTCTTATTTATAAATCTTATCTTGAATCCTTATCACTTATTCATTACTCTTTGCCTCTTCGGTGGCATTTCTTCATCATTCGATTAGACAAAAAAACCCGATTCTAGTAGATCTTTGAAATCTTCAAGACCATATCGCCATCTTACGAAAGCGCTGAACGGACATGATACTTTTTTTTTAAATTACCAGTTTGATCTGGCAATTAGCCATAATTGCCAGTTTGATCTGGCAATTAGCCATAATTGCAAGTTTGAACTGGCAATTATCCATAATTGCCAGTTTGGACTGGCATTTAGCTATAATTGCCAGTTTGAACTGGCATTTAGCTATAATTGCCAGTGTGAACTAGCAATTAGCCATAATTGCCAGTTTGAACTGGCATTTAGCTATAATTGCCAGTTTGAACTGGCAATTATATAATTGCCAGTTTGAACTGGCATTTAGCGATAATTGCCAGTTTGAACTGACATTTAGCGCTTCCGTACGAATGGATCTAGTCATATGTTATCGCCATCTAGTGACGTCAAAAAACTAACGATTATTTCGACCAACGCAAAGGGCGAGTCGTGGACTGATAATGAATTATTGGCAATTATGGCTAATTGCCAGTTCAAACTGGCAATTATAGCTAAATGCCAGTTCAAACTGGCAATTATAGCTAAATGCCAGTTCAAACTGGCAATCATGGCTAAATGCCAGTTCAAACTGGCAATTATAAAAAAAAGTAGTTCAAATGGCAATTATAGGTAATTGCCAGATCAAACTGGCAATTATGGCTAAATGCCAGTTTAAACTGGCAATTATGGCTAATTGTCAGTTCAAACTGGCAATTACAGCTAATTGCCAGATCAAACTGGCAATTATAAGAAAAAAAGTATCATGTCCGTTCAGCGCTTTCGTACCATCTTAATCGTATCCAATATTATTTTTAGTCTGGATTGGTCCTTCATCCACAATTCCATCTAAATCACTAAGTCCCTTCAAATCCTATCTTTGATATTGAGAACAATTATTTTCGCATGTTTCTTACAATCTTTATGTAATTAAAGTGTAAATTTCAATAAATAGCTCAAAATTGTACCTAGTGATGGGAAAAAAATTCGGATTCGAGTTCTTTGTTTTCCATGCTTTTCCGAGAACATTCACTATAGTGATGTGTATATTTTTTTACATTATCAGAATGAAGAGATTTCAACGAACAAAAAACACCCCGAGTTTTTTTAAAGAGCTGATATTTTGACGTGAGAATTTTCGATAGAAAATTAGGGTGTTTTCGATATTGAGTCAAAATAAGGTGAAAACAAAATTTCAAATCAAAAAAATCACAGTGTCTTCAGGACATGAAAAGGTAAGTTTTCACTAAATGTCTTGCATAAGATGAAAATAAAAAACCAAAAACTTGATTATTCGAATTTTTCACATAAATTTTGAGGTTATGTGAAAAAAGTGTGGATACAAAAGTTGTAGGTCTCTTTATTACCTACAACTTTGCTATTCAACTTTTTTCCATAGGACTCGTAGTTTTGCTAGAAATCAAGATAAACTGTTTTTTACCCTTGAAAACTCACCCCGACCTCAGATCGCCCGTTATTTATTCTCCCTTTCATTTTGTTATATTCTCGTCCTTTCTCAACGGGTTTCATCATACTATTTTTTTTTGTTTAAAAAATTATCGACTCTGATGGTCTAAAACGGTTTACTGAATCCAAAAATCGAAAACCATACAGGTTGTCCTATTTAAAAAAAATTTAGCCACTTTCAGTTCAACCGGAAGGTATAAAACGAATATTTTCTTATAAAGGAATGAGCATTTTGGTATACTTGCTACCCACCAATTCTCGGTATTTCCATCAGCAACACTCTTTCATGGGATAATCATGTCAGATCCATCGCAAAAGCTGCTTCACAGAAACTCTGATTCTTGTTCCGTGCGAAAAACTACTTTACACCTCAACAGCTTATCATGATCTACAAAGCGCAGATATACGGCCTGTTCTAGAATACTGTTCCCACATATGGGGTTCAGCACCAAAACATACGCGGATGATCTTGGATTCCATCCAGAGAAGAGCCATTCGCCTGGTGGGTGACGCCACACTCACTCACTCTTTGACATCATTGGAACACCGTAGAAAGGTCGGCGACCTTTCACTTTTCTATCGATACTTCCACGGGAAATGCTCTTCGGAAATCTCTGCTATCATCCCTTCACTAGCAATAGCAGTCAGACGAACTAGACAATCCCAGTCAGCACATCCTTTCGTTGTCAACCTCGAAAGATGTCGAACAGCACTTTATCTAGTGATTCACACGAGACCAACGAGACGATGGAATATGGAGTCTAGTCTCGAGTCTCGTCTCGCAGCCCCGAGTCTCGTCTTGTCTCGCGTCTCGTACGAGAGTCTCGCAAATGTATCGCAATTACGTCATGCATAATCTTGTTCCAGTCTAGTACGGGATATTCACTTACATTTACCTACTTTTTAGGTATAATGTAGAGGTAGCAAGAGAAAATGACAACAAAAATATTATTTATTGAAAAGTAAGTACCTAATAGGTACATACTTACATCATACATCTAAACGAGAAAAGAAAACATAGCATTATATATTCGAAAATTATAAAAATGGAATGAAAAGTAACACGTACATTCTAAACAAATAAACAAAATGAAAACTTTAATCCAATATTATTTTACTTATTTGAGAAATAGGTATCTAAGAAAATAGTTATTCGTTTTACTATTAGGCAGAAAAGTAGTCAATCTACATTTGCTGCCGTGTGATACAGAATTTTTTCTCCAAATGATATAAAACTAATTTTTTGTAATTTTTTGTTGAAAAC